AACTTTAAAAAGGAATATATAATAAAAATATATTATTTATTGTGATTTGTACAAAATATTTAAAAATATCCAATTGATGATATTTTTTTTTTAAAAAGAGAACACAAGAGAGGAAAGAAAGGCTTCCTAGTCCCCACTTAAATTAAACATGATAGAGGATGTAATAACATGATTGTTCTAATAAATATAAATGATACAATAAATATGCACAATTCATAGAAGAGAATCATCCAATTTATAATTGGTGAAAATCTCTAATTGGAACCAATATCGTGGGTGGAAGGACAATTCTCTACGCGTTTTGCGCCAATAGGCGCTTCATCAGGAGTAGGAGGTGATCCCCTTAGTGTGAAGTCAAAAAAATGCATGCACCAGAACGCCAGGCGGACCAGGGAGGCACGTGTTCCCAGAGTGGAGGAGGATGGAGAGCTGAGGCGAAGGCTGTACACAAAGGGGTACTAGTAGTAAGATGGTATTGTGTCCCTCAATTAGTGCCCAAGGGAATAGCAAGAATAGGGCACAGCATGAGAGGGAGTTTAGTGTGGTAAGGTCTTAGGACGGACTACTTGTATCCTCCAACACAGAACGCCGCCGATACGCATGAGGCCGTTTCCAGGATTGCTCTAAGAATGTGGCTATATGATCATCAGAAGATGGTCTTCAGAAGCTGTGTTAAATAAATGTGAAGTGTGCTGGGTGATTTTTTCTAACATTAACAGATTTGTAGTTTAGAAACAATTTCTTGTAATTGTAAATATTCCTGAACCTGTAAAAAAAAAGATTATTAAAGTGAAAGAAAGGATAGGGTTGGGATGAATAAATATTATACAACCACCTGCTTTTGCTCTATGTTATCTATACGTCCATTTAGATTTGCATATATGGCCAAGTTGGAAGACTACATTCACTACAGTGAATAGAATTGTTTTAGGTACAGTCACCCATAGCTTTTTCATAGTGTTAACTGTCATTGACATTTATGTATGTGATAATGTAAGTGTTCAAGTACAATTAAAAACATGTTTTAGGTAAATGCTTGGTTGTCCTGATGTTTCCAGGCTAAAAATGGATGTTCAAATTAGCCCATCAAAGCATTAACTGCTTACTCCCGTCAACCCATATTTTACTGCTGTGTCCTGTAGTGACCTAGGGTTTGGCAGCAGGAACCAGTGAGAGCCATGGAGGGCACAGAAGACTTGACACCCCCAGAAGTGTCAGTTTCAGAAGAAACTTGACTTGGCCATTCCTTTTCAGTTCATCGTAGTTTGACGGTGCAGCGGCAGGAGAGGTAAGTATATGCTTTCTGCCTTACAGGCACAACTACTATGGAAATTCTTAGCTTAAGGACAGGGTCACTTTAAATTTTAACTGATACCAGGCATTAGACATTAAAGTTAGGGATGCACTGATACCGGTATTTTGGTTACGAGTAGTGATATTTTTTTTTTCGATACTCGCCAATACCAAATACCGAGTACCGGAAGTCCCATTCAGGAAACCAGGCGGCGTGTAATGACTCACCCACCTGGCTTCCTGATTAGCCGGGCAGCGTGTAAAGACTCGCCACCCGCCTTCCTGATTAGCAGGCAAGCCGTCCCCATGCTCCTTGTCACTAGGGGGAGCATGAAGCCGGCTTCCCGACCAATCAGAAAGCCGGGCGCCACGTCATTACACAGCACCTGGCTTCCTGATTGGCCAGCTTCCGACCAATCAGGAAGTCGGGCAGCGCGTCATTACATGTGACGAGAGAGCATGGAGCCGGCTTCCTGGCCAATCAGGAAGCTAGGCAGCTTGTAATGACACGCTGCCCAGCTTCCTGATATCGGAAGCATCGGGCTAGGCATCGGAGCATTTGGGCGAGTACTCCGATACCGAGCAGCACCGATACCGATACTAGTATCGGTATCGGGGCATCCCTAATTAAATTACTTTAAAAATCTTACCAAGCAGTAAATAAGCTTTAAACAAGCTCTTAGTCTGTAGATGCAAGCACCCTGGAGCAACTCAAGTAGTTGTCTTTGCCAGTTAAGCTCTCCCTGCTCCCCTTCCCAGCAGTGAATCGGCAGCTTTCTAGCCTTGTAGTCTAATGCAAACAGGTGCTCTGGGAGGGGGATCACAATGAGTTGAGCTGTGCATTTGAATGACTTCAGTGCTGTGATCAGGCCATTTTCTTAAGAATATGTAAATACTTAAAAACATAGCCCACCTTTGCGTCCATGTTTCATGTTACCCCATATTTAGGGGGGTAACATGAAACATGGTCACATTCCCCACCCTCCATCCTCAAACTGCCCCCCTCCACTTACCTGAGTAACAGGGTGCTTCTCCCTGCAGGCTTCTGTTTTGATTGGAATTTGGTGGGGCTTTGCCTACACAACTTCATCATCCATTCACAGGGATCTGAGTGAAAAGCATCATGTCCCATCTAACACAGCAGCAGAGGGTCACATAGGTCTCAATGGAGCGCAAGTGCAGGGACTATACTACTGATTACTTCCTTCAGCCTCGTAACAGTCCTCTAGTACATCTTTAAAAAATAAGTCAAGGCAACTGGACTGGCTGTATTTTTCTTGACGACGTTTCACTGGACACCCGACCAGCTTTCTCAATTCTGAATTGAGAAAGCTGTTAGGATGCCCAATGAAACGTCTTGACCTGACCATGACCTGGATGAATGAGAACCTTCACAGACAGTCCTCTAGTACCATACCGTACCTGGGGATAGAGGAAGATTCTGCAGGAGCCTTTCCATTGCACCCACTATTGCAATGCTCTGCAGGCTCCAATGTAAAAATTGAATATAGGCATATTTTTTTCTTTTATGAATGTGTGTGCATGTATTCATTATTTAGACTATGCTTTTAAATGTCCATCGCCTAACCACAAGTGTTGTGATTAAGTACTAGACTACATGTTTTGTTTTTTAAACGTTATATGTTTATGTTATATATTGTAATATTTTTTCTAAAATAAAACTTTATCCTTCAAGTAAAAATACTAATTGAAGCTATTATACATGTTCAGATTTGTTTTTTTATACAGAGTTAGTGTGTACAGTTAAGCATGTATTTGTTCTGTGGTTTCCCCCCACATTGCTACGTTAGATGTAGCACTGAAATAAAGGATTTTTTTCTGGCATATTTCTGCAGGTGGAACATGCTGGCTCCTACAAGGTTCAAGTTCACAATGCAGCTTGATGCTGCTAACAGCAGTAACATGGGATGAATGCTGTGGAGATGGACACTTAGACACCGCCTGGTCCAACTATACTGACCCCATGACCAAAATTGGTCTGCTGGGCTTCCTAGGACTGGTCAACTGTAAGCCCTGCAGAGGTGAGCCACACATATGACTGCTGCCCTAGATAGGTAAAATTAAGTATTTAGAGGCAGGGTGTTAGTATTTGATGATGGTATGTGTAGTGTAGAGGTGCTCAATCTTTTTTTTTAGTGTTGAGACCCCAAGTACCTAATAATATGGGGACCTCAAAAACTGATTGTAAAATTTGACCATCAAGCTGCTTAAAGTGTACAGTAGCAGGGGTGCTTAAGAAAGCAGGGCCATGGAGAAGCTTCTTTCTGATAAAAATCATCACAGAGAAGTTCTTTAAGTAACTGTACTGGAATAGAAGGAGAGCTGGTTACCCTAAAGCCCTTTAGGGCATGTTTTAAATGAAAAATGGATACCAAAATAAATTTGACAGCTCCTACAGCGTAGAAAACACAAATGTGCAGCTTACTACACTCTATAATCTTCACATTAGAGAAACGAACTGCAATTTTGACCTTCCTGAAGAGCTCCAAGTCTTCTCAGACAGTGGTGATTTTGCAATATTTCAGATGGCTCAGTTTTCACATTGAAAATAACCCTCACCTCTAAACACACTAAACTCAAGAGTTAAATCTGAAAAATACATTCAAGTACCCTAACTATTAGCAAAAATGTATCTTATTTGTGTATCAAAGATACAAATCATCTCTGAATTGGTGCTGGCACTGTCCTTTCTTCTGAAGGGTGGCTACTTTTGTTCCCCATGGTCCCTGTGTATGTTTGTGCTCACTCCCATGATAGATTACAGTCTCAATACAAATTAGTAAACTAAACATGAGATTATAGTCCATCACGCAAACGAGCTTGGAGTGGTGGCTACTTTACAACACACACAGGGACCATGGGGAACAAAAGTAGCCACCCTCCATCCAGCAAAGCTAAATAAATTATTTGGGCAGATTTATTTTTATATCTGACCTCTGGGCAGATATACTAACAATATTGTGGAGAACAAATGCTGTGTCATACCTAAATTTATGTGTCCCATAACAAAAATTGGTGTCTTTGTTCAGAAATTATAAAATATATTTATATATAATTTTTATTTTCCTAATTTTGTTTTACACGTTATTTTTATTTTGGCTATGACTGCTTGATAAATTAACTTTTTTAAAAATGTTTTGGCTATTAGGCTGCTCCAAATTTAGGAACAGCTACTAATAACCTTAGTCTGGGTTCACACCTAGGCGTTTTACGTATGCACGTCTGTTGCGCGACCGTCACGCGGTTTTTTTACCGCGATTCGCGGTAAAAAAATTGCGCGACCGTCGCGCGATTCCGAAGGCTGCTTGGCTGTATCCCAATGGATTGCACGTCTGTTGCGCGACCGTCACGCGGTTTTTTTACCGCGATTCGCGGTAAAAAAATTGCGCGACCGTCGCGCGATTCCGAAGGCTGCTTGGCTGTATCCCAATGGAAAACGCCCTCCAAAACGGCCCAAAGAAGTACATGTACTTTTTTGGGCGTCAGCCGTTTTGTAGGGCGTTCAGACGGGCGTAAATACGGAAAGGTGTGAACCATGCCCATAAAAAACAATGGGATTTTCATGGTTGTACGTTTTGTAGAGCGTTCATAGAGCGTTGAACGCCCGACAAAACGGAAAGGTGTGAACGGGGCCTTAGAGACTGATCTTGACTTTAGTCAGATTCAGATCTCCCTAAAAGCTCTTTGATCGTGCCTAGACGATCAGAACTGATACATTTCACTCAAAAGATATACATTGTATCTTTTGAGTGAAATGTATCTAAACATCGGGCTCTCGAGCTGTCAAAACAAATAGCAGAGAGGTGAGTCACTGCTACCTCTCTGCTATTTTCAGCTGTCAAATACAGGATCGCAAATTGCGACGGCTTCATTCTTTCATTAATTAAAGGAAGAAGCTTTTACAAAAAGCTTAATTATTTCATTAATGAATGCCTCAATACTGAGGCATTCATTAATGACTGGTAACTGCTGAGAATCAGCTGTTACCAGCATTACAAAGCCTGATATAACTCGTCACGTACAGTGTACGTGGCCAGTCATATAGGCACAAAGTTCCGGGACGTACACTGTACGTCTCCCGTCACGAAGGCGTTAACTGGAAACTGTTTTTAATGAGCAGTTTCATGTTATGGGGATTGGTCACCACCACCGGTCAGGGACCAGTCACCCAAACACCCCTATTTAGTTTTATGTAGGCATTGTTGATTTGATCAACCACATAAGCAACCAATCCACTCCCAAGAGTCACGTCATATAATGGTTGTGGGCACAGGGCTCTTGAGAGTTATAGTTTGAAAACAGGCTTTGTAACCAGGATGTCTCTCCCTCCCAGAGATAGAGAATATGGAGGGCTGCATTTGACATCACAGTTAAAATAAAATTAGAGTATCGGTAAAAGGCATGGCCTGGAGTTCAGCCGTAAAATAATTTTTTATGTTGTCTTCTTTATGCAGAGAGCTGTGATGGGGTCCAGTGTCCCCCTGGTAAGACATGCACTCTAAAGGATGGGCGTCCTCAGTGTGAATGTGCTCCTGACTGTTCAGGACTCAACAGTGATATTCTTGTTTGTGGCTCTGATGGGAACACTTACCAGGATGAATGCGAACTTGTCACCCACAAATGTCGTGGACAGCCAGACCTGGAGGTCATGTACTATGGAAAATGCAAAAGTATGTATCCATTTTCTTTATTTTAATTGTCTTTTGTACATCTTACTATCCTAGAGATGTTAATTTAAAAAGTATAAAAAAATATAATGTATATCGAGGCATATTTTTATACTATGATTTATTAACATAGATTGACCACCTAGGGCTGAAAAGAGAGTTATTTCCTGTTATAAGCTGGGGATACTTAAGTTGGAGTGTGGGCATTTTAGTTCCCTATTGGAGAATCGCCAGACTATGGCTCTTTAACATAGCAGCTTCACTTTATGTAGTAAGCCAAATTTTCATCTGTCCCATTTTCCTCTGACCACTTCAAAACAATGCTAGCCTGGTGGTTTACAAGGCTCATGGGGCAGCAGGCATGCTTGTTCATACCACACAACATGCATAATGCGTGTGTTAGCTAGTGTGTGGAGTGAACTGCCATTGCCTTGTGCTGCTATGTGTTGTTAAAATGCATTGTGGTGCTTGCTTTTTTTAAGTGCATCTAATTCTATGTGCTGCAGCGTTTTGCAGTGCTTTATAATGTGTCAGTACGTGCTGCACAAAAATGCAACATGTTCTATTTTTTTCAATGCACTGAACTGAAGCAGTGAGGCATATGTCAAATCATTCTTGCATTGGGACTGTGTTGGGCAACACTGCTGGTGTGAACGAGCCCTAAGAGTTAACGCGTTTGTGAATGCTTAGAATATAGACTACTGACTAGCATATAAATCCTCCGATTTTACATGGAATTGAGAATAGCAACAACTTTGCTGTGAACTTTCTTTCCATCAGAAATAATTACTTTGATAATTACTTTGATTTGTGTAGCTTTTGGCTGATTGGTGTTCAAAATGAGATCTGCCGAGTTAGTGGCAAATCCCACGGGGCAGTCAAAGCTTTATTTACCAACTTATTGCCATGTGAATCTTTCTCTGAAATCAACTATTTCTTTTGGCAGCTGTTATGTTTCAGCTGACACACACATCTAGCCGCTGGTGCGCACAGGAATGTTTTCAGCCACACAGAAGTGTGGCTGAAAATAGAGGAAAATGTGCCAATGATATATGAATGCAGCCATGCCACTTGCATACAATGACTTAGAAATTTGGGGATTTCAACACATTTATAGTTTTATCTTGCAAAACATTTGGGTTGTTGTGTGACCACAGAAATGACTTAAAGTCCTAAATCCAGTAATTGGGAAGCACAACCTTCATAAGGTAAACAAAAAAAACACACAAAAAATACAATCCATGACTAAAGCAAATCCCCTCACATGTTCCCATTCCTTGACACTGCAGCTCACAGTGGGAGGGTTTCAGCAATAGAGTCAGTGCTGTCCATCCAGAAAGCAGTGGACAGGACTAGGTGTGGTCGGGTGCTGATTGACAAGCTGCAGGCCTGTGAATCAGCAGTGACAATGTTGTTAGCTATGCCCTTGCTACATGTTCTCTTTCCACAGTAGTGCAAGCAGGCAACTTGGCAGCTTTTCTGTGAATTGAGGAGCATTGCATATCTTTTAATTATTATGACTAGGACTTTTTTCACCACCTTTTTAATACCTATGCTTTACAGAGTTCAAGCTGAAATGTATGCACACAAATAAATTAGTCAGAGCAGTGCCTCTTACACCCCCACCCTTCAGAATTCTGTGTACTAAATTGCACTAAGGTATAAAGTGTCTAAAAGGAAACAGCTTTTGCTGCGCTCTCTTTGTAAAGCCCATGATGTCCTGGGAATCCTGTGTCATGGGTGCACCCCTATATTAAATATTTACTTATAAAATTAATATGCATATAAAAGATATATAACATATAAAGAAAGAAAGAAATTAAACTGACCCTAAGCCCTTATAGTTTAATTTTAATTATTATATAGGTTAACTAATGGGTGCTTTTTTTGCATTTGTCTGGAATTGGTACTGTAGATGCAACGTGTAACTTAAAGTGGACCTTTACCCATATCTTTCTATACTTCTAGATAATTGCTGGCTTTGTATTCTTTGCATACCTTATTCCTCTTTTCTTCCCCAGTCTGTTGGCAGTGGCCATATTTACTAAGGGCAGATTACTAGCTCTCCTTTTAGTTACTAGATTTCTGGCACATGTGACTAGACATGTGACCATGCACCAGGGGCGTATCTAGAAATCACAGGGCCCCATAGCAAAATTTTGCATCGGGCCCTGTGATTTCTAGTTACGCCCCTTGCAGAGCCCACCTGAGATCCTACACAGCCCACTTGAGAGTGACCTTTCAGGGTCCACCATAGACTCTCTATGGTGGGTTCTGCAGGCTTTCAGGTTGGCTGGTCACACCCCTGCAAACCTCTTACCTGTCAGCCCCGATCCGCTGTCAGCCTTCTCCACCATCGGGCCCCGCCTCCTCCTCAGTCACAAGCAGGACCCACCTCCTCCGCCGCAGGGCTTGGCCTCCTCCACTGCCACCGGGCCCTGCCTCCTCCTCGATTGCCGCAGCCTGGCCCTGGCCTCCTCCACCGCAGGCTGCTGGCTGTCCCTGATTCAGCAGCGGCTGGGAGGAGGAACGCGCCACTGCACAGATCACTGACAACTTGTCAGTGATCTGGACAGCAGCGCTTTCGTCCTCACAGCCGCCAGTGACAGCCATCAGCCTGCGATGCCATAGGGGCCCTGGCCGTCCGCACGGCATCAGAGAGATTCCTTTGTTCCTCGTCCTGGCCTGGCCCCCCTGTGCCCCCTAGCGGCCGCCTGGGTCTCTATGGCGATAGTTCCGCCACTGCCATGCACATAATCTTAGGGGAGGAAAATGCCTTTCCCCGAGATCTCATGAGATTACAGATGAGATTTCCCAGCAATGCTCTGCTAATGACAAGGCAATCCCAGTGTGCATTGCTTTGGCAAACTGAAGCCATTTTGCCTTTTCAAAGCAGGAGGTGAATGAGCTGCAAGTGTAAGTATTTCAAAATCACAGCATTTTACACATGACATGTCTATATTATTAATCATCATACATAGAGGGATGCATTGGTAGAATTTGATTTTTGAGTGTAAAAGTCCGCTTTAAAACTGAACTCCAGGAAGATATAAAGACAAATGAACACAGATCTGTGTTTATTAATATATCATTATTATACAACAGCACTCAGACTGGGAGAAAGAGGGGAAGGACTAGAAATTAACATTAAAACGAAGTGCACTTATCCTTCCACCCTCTATGGGGCTCATCTACCTCCCTGCCTGGGCCAGGGGAAGAGACCTATAGGTTTTTTGGGGCTCCACATGCTGGTTTGGCCAGGAGAGAGGGAACTTGTGGTGTGTCAACAAAAACAGGAGTTATTCAGGCATCTGATTGAGGTAAGTATGCTTGTATGGAGGAAGAGGGTGAAATCTGTTAGGTCAGGGGCAAAAAAATAGGTGTACATTGGAAAACAAACATCCACAAAAGCAGTAGAATGACATTTCCTTGGTGTCTTTAAAAATATTCTATTCAGTGGATTACCACTAGGAAATCTCAGGTTTTTACATTTGAGTAACCCCTAGGGTATGTAATTATAATCCAGATTTATGATGTTTGGGTTAAATTAACCCCAGTTATCCTGAATTTGAAATATTTAAAAAAAATACTACTTACAGTTATGTGAAATAACAGTAACAGGGAGAGTAGATCACAGTGTTCAAGAGAGTTGGCAGACCACAAGGTTTTGTCATCAGACCATAAGCACAGAAATCGAGTGCTCTAGTTCTAGAAAAGAGAGTCCAGTGTAGAAATCACCGCTTAAAGCTTACTAAGTGTACATGTAGCAGGCATATGCAGTTGCTGTGTATAAACACCAAAAAAATATATATATTTTCTCAAAGTTGTCCTCTCTATCTTCTCATGGCTTATTTTGAAATGGTTGCCTCTGTGTTCTGCAGGTGGACTGTGTACATAACAGGCTGCTGTGCACAGTGGACAAATACAATGTAGGGCATGGAAAACTACTACAATTTCCCAGCAAGGTGAAACCCTGTTTTGACTAACACATGTTATGAAATGATGCACTTTATGTAGTTGCTTACACTCGACGAGGAGTTGCATACCACACCACCTACTAAATGAATACCAACATACCAGACATTCAGCGTGGCCAAGACATTTGTAAAACATATGTAATACAGAAAACACCTTCAGGATAGCTTGAATAATGCTTTCAATTGTACATTATTACACAAACTTCTTTGTTTTCCCAAGAAACAACTCATGTGCTGCAATTCCCACTACAGTCCTATGTCTAGTTTTAAGGGAAATACAGTGCTATAAATTAAATATATTCATGTTTAATATGTCAGAAGTACAGAAATGTTTCAAAAAGAATAAAGTCAAAGAATGATCAAAAAGAGAAAAACAATATCAAGTGAAATAAAAGTGGCAAAAGAAACACAGTACAATTGTGCTGGAAAAAGGATCTGAGGGATTCTAAGCTAAACCTCACATTTATTTGTCAATATTGTTAGTAACAAACCAGAAACTCTAGCATACAGTAGACATGACATTTGTAAGCATTGTATAATGATCCCTGTTGTTTTGCATTTCAGTTGTACAGCCTGTTACCTTGTAAATCTTTTTTTATATGAGTACAGTTTTGAAATAATACATTGAGCAAACATGTTAGTAAGGACAGTGTTCCTCCAGTTTCCAAAATTTTTGCTTTATTAACATGTTCCATAGCACATAGTGTTCTCTGGTTGTATTTGGTTTAGGAGGCATGCAATATGCAAATAAGTGGATTCTCTGAGTGTTGGAGGGCATATTGTGTATGCTTGTTCTTGGGACATTACATGAATCAGGTTTCCTTATCGTTACTTGCCAAAAGAGTACCAATTGAGGACAGCCAGTTTTGTTGTCAGGCAGGCATCCCTGGCAGACACTGGCTCGATAAGAGGCTTTGTGGAATCACTGGAACTTGCATAAAGAGCCATGGGGTAAAGTACATTTGACTCATTCTTAGTATGATCCCCTTGACAAAACAAGCAATACTGTATATAATGCATAGGTGG